TGCTTGGCCAAGGAAAATATTCTTCGTGGGTTTTGAATTTTGGTGTCTTATGCTGCATGGCCAGTACAGCTACAGAAGATTAAAGTATTTCAAGAAAACTTTATTTTCTAGTTTACTTGCTGGGGAAGACCCATCTACTACATCTCTTTTTTTAGCAATTTTCCAAAAACCAATGAAATAATTATGACTTGATATCCACCTTTTGTAGAATGTTCTCTTTCTCCCTAACCACTTTTTATTGTAACGTGCTGCAAAGGGACTCCAAAAACAGAAATTTAGAATGTTTTCTTTGAAAACATTTTACAGGCATTAAAGTTCCATTTTCACCTGCCACAAATTTAGTAAAATCTTTACTGTAATACAGACTGTGCTTGGGACACACTTTTTTGTACTTTGATATTTCAACTAAGTTTGAATTGATTGATAACCTATTTCATGAACACAACAGCATATTATTTATCCAGTTTTCCATGACGGAAATAGGTAATTCTTTACTGTGTGACAAATAATGGATAATTATATACAAGGGACCCTTGGAATATGCTAAAATTTGGCTCCAGGACCCCTCAAGGATACGAAAATCCATGGATTTTCAAGTCCCATCATACACAGTGGTGGTGTCCCTCATATAAATAGGAAACAACTCAAACAAGTACCAGAGAGAACATGAGGATGTATGAAATGTTAGGCTACAGCAGGGTATGTACACATTAGTGTAGTGCTGGGCAAATTGCAAAATCAAGACTTTGAAGAGTTTTTTAAAAAAAAGATGTGGTTGAATCCATGTATACATAAACTGTGAATACAGAGGGCCAACTGTAACTTTTGAAATAACATTTTATTTGGAATAAAAAAGTATTATGGAATAAATTATTTGCTTACCCTTGTTATGTTTCTCAGGTTCTCTTTTTAACAGACTGTATATACTTGTATATAAGTCAACCTTAAGTATAAGTCAAAGGCAGGTTTTAGTGCCAAAATTATGGATTCTGATATGATCTGTGGATAAGTCAAGGCTCATTCCATGCGGAGGAGATTAGCACCAATGCCAACTCAGGGGTCCAGCCACCTCTGGCTGCCACAGCTATTTTTCTGCCCAGGAATTTAAAAAGTCTGGAAGTAGCCCCACAGCAGAGAAAGTAGAGGGGGGCGGTGTTTATTTTAGGTTCTCCTGGAATGGGCTAAGTGCTTGCCTTTTGCCACTTTACTCAGAGAAGGGTTTGGTTTCTTTTTTGATAAGAGGTAAAGTACAGTAATCACACTGATCCATGGATAAGTCAATCCAGGTTCTCACATTCCAAGTAATTTACCTTATTACCATCTGATACTTATCCATTAGTATATAGGAAGAATGTATCTCAATCGGTTTTATAGTTGACAGGTGTGATCTTGACCCTTGGACCCTTGGATACCCTTTCAGATACAGACGGTATCTGAAAAGGAGTTAAATACATCAATGTTCAGTCCATCAATGATCCAGATCTTTTCTTAGTACATTTCAGGGGATTGTGCTGGAAGACTAACATTCAGAAATTTAAATGGGTCTTGTGAATATAGGCATATCACAGCTAAGAAATCCAGAGGCAAGGCACCGCTTTTTACACATTATTTTTAAACTCAAGTAGTCCCTTTCTGCACCTAATGACAAACTTTGGGTACTAGGTGGCAGCAGCATGAATGCTATAAAACCACAATAAAGAAAGCTTGAGCTAGAAAATAATGGGATTCACAATAGCCTGTCCTACTGCAGCTGCACATGCCTGCCTACTACAGGCAAAATTAACAGAAGCTGCACGAGAATTCCTTAGCAAGTATGTGTGAACAGTAAACAGAGAGAAAAGACAAAAACAGTTAAGCCTATCTCATGTTTCAATGTATAAATCTGTATGTTTGTCCACCAAAATGAAAAGCAAATTGGAGGATGTTGAAAAGAAAAAGGGTTTTGTTTACTTACGCAACATTTACATGATTTATTTGATTCCATTTCACATGTGCATACTGTTTGGTTTTTTTTATGATGTTGGACCTTATCACTACTCGTTTGATTGTATTTCTGTCTCTGGTACAAAATTTTCTATTATATTAAAGAAGTAACACCCAGGGGCACATCTTCTTTGTTAACTGAGATTAAACCTATAAATAGCTTTTACTTAGTTGTTTATCTAACATACAATTCTCTAAAGAAAATATATTGTTTCTAAAACTCAGTCATAATATTTCTGTCCAGCAGAAGGTGCATTAGGGTATAATAATTGGAAAGAACAAGAAACTTTACAAAAAAAAAACAAACAAATTTCTCATGTGATTCCTTCCTTTCCAAATGTGGCTACTATGGGACAACTCAAAATATGCAGTAAGGAAGCATTCTTATGAAGAGATGACCATCCCTTTCAGCATTTGGTTTTTTGAAATAATCACAAGATATTCAACAGTTTTAGGTATGACATTCAATTTAGCCTACAGATTCATCGTTAAACCCATCCCCTCTCCAAATCTTGAGCAGTATCTTTTATCATCTTGCTGACACTACGACTAGTCTTTTGAGATAAATCTCCATAACCAAATAAGTAATATAATTTGGGCATTATCAAAATCGCCATGCTTTAAATACACTAGAGTTCATCTTTACTCCCATAGGCAGTATTTCCGACTTGGACCAGTTCAACGAATGCCCAGATAGTTTATGAAAATTATTAATCAATTGCATTAAAACAGATTGACTGCTGGGGCTTTGAAAGGAGCAATAAAATATCATTACAAAATATCATTTTTCAGTTCTAAACCAACACATCCAAGTCCATTAGTCATAGATTTTTATCTGATACCACATGCTGAAAGTTCAAAGCACAAATTGAATATTAAATTAGGCAATTGACATCTTTGTCTTGTACACCGCCTCAATACAAAAAAGACAAAGAAAAATGTTGGCATTAATAAATGTTCTTGGTCCTGAATATGATGGGAACAATTGTGACATTTTTTAAAATATCAAATAGCTGTCAATATTTGCATATTAGCATATAGGCTGATGGTTAATACGCTTTTCAAAAAATTACCCCGAAGAATACCGTTTTAAAGTTTGGTGAGATGTATTGTCCATAGGCTATACTTCCATCATCCTTGCACTAGACTGGGGTAGGCAATGTGCCTTTTGAGACTGTTTTGAGCCCCCAGTGGTCATTTTTTTCCAAACCAAAATACCCCCCCCCCAAACACCCTCTAGGATGTGTGGAGGGCATTTTGTCACGTTTCAACATCCCCATCCCCTGCCATTTCAGTCCCAGGAGAAGCCTTTTTTTAAAAAAAAAAAAGTTAATTGATCAGGAAAGACCCATTCCCTGTTGTTTAATAAAGGCCCCTGGTCTGAGCTGGCTTTGCAACAACAATATTGTGTGTTTGATAAAAACTTGGATCGGACTTTTAGGTGGACATAGGGATGGTAATAATAATAATAATTGTTACTGTTATTATAAAAACAAACAGGTAATTTCTCTGGTGAGACATAAACGTTGAAACAGGTATCCACCAACATGAAAATTAACATTTGAACATGCATATCTTTTACTCTCAAATTTGTAATTCTCTTTCTGTTCTCAAGTTAGATTTTGCCCTTTTAAAATGGAAATTATGCAAGGATTCTAAGCAAGATCCATAACAGCATAAATATGCCTTGGGTTGTGCGATGTAATTATCTCTGCTTTCAATAATTGTAATACTCACCATAGTTAGTAGTGGGTTTTTTTACTTATGTTGGCAGTGAAGTCAATATATATTTTGCCAGGTTGTCAGTGGGTTTAATTTATCTGTTAATTGTGCTGTCTTTTGTTTGTTTTCTACGGTCTCAATTTACTTTCTTGTTTTTTGTGTTATTGTTATAAACCACCTTGAGGGCACTTATGGAGGAGATGCTCAAAGGCAGTATGTAAATAGCTTTATAAATAAATACTTACATTAAAAAAAGGCCTCTCCTGGATATAAAACTGCAAAGGAAGCTCTGAAACAAAAAATACCCTCACACCACGCATCTGGGGGCATTGGTAGGAATATTTCACCATCTGTTGGGGATAGTAGGGAGATGAAGCCTCACCAAGTTCTCCTGTGGTGAAGTTCATCTGAAATATGAAAGTTGCAAATGGTATAATATCCCCTTCCACAATCTGCCATTTTAGGTATTGTCGAAGGCTTTCATGGCTGGAATCACTAGGTTGTTGTAGGTTTTTCAGGCTATATGGCCATGTTCTAGAATTTTAGGTGTTTGGGATCTCAACTCCCATAGCCCCATTCAATGGTCAAGGGTAGCTGAAAGGGAAGAGGAGAAGGGATTGGAATATGGGTGCTAGGAAATTTGAATATATCATATTTCAATGATGAAAATATGTCATTTCCATCTACCCTTAGTAGGCCTCTACCTATGACTTCCACAACTTGATAAAGTGTGTGGTCAAGCAATATTGTATACTATGCTATGGGTTTTAATGGAAATATCCTGTAAGCATAGAGTCTGTTTCCTTACACAACTTTCTTTTCATCTAAGCCAACCTGTTCAGATAGCTAGCTGGTTACAAAACTTACAACCTCTGCCAGCCTTTTGATTTACCTTCTATAACTTTTCAAACATAGGTTGCAAATGAATAAATATCTGAGCTTTACTGTGGTATCTTTAAGAGCCTATTATTTTAAAGAAAAATTCTTAATGGTATTAGTAGCCTTTTAATTAAGCATCATTATGAAAATTAATAGGTAAGTATTATAAATTCCTAACTAACAAGGGAATTGGATAAAAGCAGGCATATTATTATAAGTAAAAATATACCACAACAGCAACATGCTGTTGTAATAATGTTTAATATTTAAATATTATTTCTTCAATATGATATGGATTTAATTAACCACTGAGTTAAACACATGGATCTTTGGTGCACAGTATATTTTCTGCTTGTATTTATCATACTGGTTTCCTGCTAAATCAACATTATAATCCTGCTTTCATTTCCCACCAGATGATGAAACACGCCTGGGATAATTATAAACATTACGCATGGGGATTAAATGAACTGAAACCCATATCAAAACAAGGACACTCAAGCAATTTATTTGGTAAGTAATATGTGCTTTTGTGCTTAGCGACATCAACTGATTTGCTGCTCTGAAGTAAGAGATTACATAGAAACATGTGTGCTCTTAACCAGATGTTATGGCTGTCTTTAAATGGTTGATTATTATTAGAAGAAGAAAATACTAAAACAGCATTACTTTGTCACAGTCTTGTCCTTCAGATACAGGAAATATCATGCCATAGCATTCAGTTCTATATTTCTGGCATTTTCTATATCCATACATACTTGAATCCCATGAGTGAATTAAAATAACAAATAAATGCTATAAAAACATGACAGGTTGAGTATTCTTTATCTTGAAATCCAAAATGCCCCAAAATTGTTAATTTGGGTGACTAAAATAAACAACTTTGCTTTCTGTTAGTTCACAGTATACAAACTTGGATTCATGCACAATATTATTTAAAATACAGTGTATAACATTACCTTCAGGCTATGTGTATTAGGTGTTTTTGACACATAAATGATTTTCAGGTTTACAATTGGATCCAATCTCCAAGATATCTCATTATGCAATGCCAGATATTCCTAAATTCAAAACATTTCTTTTCTCAAGCTCTTTGGATAAAAGGCATCAGCCTTAACATGTTGAGGGTGAAATTCTCAAAAAGAAGGAAAGAGCAGACTGTGGAAACTATCAAGGTATCCCCCTTCTAACCTCCACTGGGAAAATCCTCACAATAATCCTTGCAAATCACGTTCTACGTGTCCCAGAAGACACTCTCCCAGAATCCCAGAATGGCTTCCGCCCCTCCAAAGAAACAGTGAACATGATCTTCACTGCACGATTGCTCCAACAAAAATACAGGGAACAAAACCAACCTCTGTACATGGCATTCATTGACTTTGCAAAGGCATTCGGCACAGTGAACCACAGTGCTCTCTAGACCATCCGCTGAAAAATGGGATGCCCTGACAAATTTGTAAACATCCTGCAGCTCCTCCATGATGATATGATGGCAATAGTCTTGGACAGCAATAGCTCTCAAAGTGACCCATTTAAGGTGGAATCAGGTGTCAAACAGGGATGTGTTATTGTCCCAACTTTATTTTCCATTTTCATCACTAAGTAAGGAATTCTTTCATGCTGGTAAACATATGGGTTCACCAGAATAAGAAAAAGATACACGGATGGGAAATACCTCCAAACTGGCACAAAAAGTGATGCACATTTGAGTTCTTTGGAGCTCTTTATTTGGCTGATAAGACTGTACTCTTCATAGAGTAAATTAACCAAAATGCTCTCTAACTTTTGCAGTTCAGGTCTGCTCCTTTATACAAGATCTAACAATGTTCAGTGTACAGGTGGATGATAGTTTCTCATAGAAACATTGATTTTATTGATAATTTATTGATAATTATTTAAATAACTTTATTTGTTGATATAGGTTTATAAAGAACAATAAAACTGTCTCCTTGCACTGCTGAGTATCTTTTTTGTTCTTCATTTCTCTTTTACCTTTACAGTGGTAGAATCCTAATTGTTGTATTTCTCTCCTCCTTCATTCAACCAAAAATCCAAAGTAGAAATCTTCGCTTGGGTCACGCATTCTTGTAAAGCTCTTTATAATCTAAGCCACTTCAGAGAAGAGACCCAAGTTGATACAGTGGTTAAAATATTGAACTCATTCATGATCATTAGATGACCATGGGCCACCTGCTTTGTCTCAGGGTTGCTGTAAGGAGTAAATGGAAAGGTTGAGCCAGATATACTGTCATGAACCATTTAAAGTATGGCCAAGGTGTGAATTTAGTAAAGTAATAGAAATGTAATGAATGCATATCAAATGTAACTAACAAGTAGCCCTGTATCTATTGCACTGGGTGGAGTACTTCCCCTTAGTTTGAACTGTGTTCCTGTCCGCAGTGTGCCAGAGCTGCTCTTTCCTATTACTTGGATCTTTATTGTTCTTTGTTCAGTTGTATCACATCTATCCCAGTTAAAACAGAACAGTAAACAGTTTTTTTATTTATAATGCTTTGAACTTCAACATTTGCATTCCACTCTGCCTCTCCCACGTCCCCAGGAGATGATTGTGGGTGCTTGTTGTTATTGTCATTGTTGTGTGCTTTTAAGTAGTTTCCAACTTATAGCAACCATATCATGAGGATGTCTTCAACAAGATTTGTTCAGAGATGGGTTGCATTTGCTTCCCTCTTTGACAGTGTATGACTTGCTCAAGGACACCCAGTGTCCTGATTCAGACTTCAGCATCCTCACAGACGGTTGTTACAGTGGAAGCATTTAATTAGCTCTTCCAGACAAAGTAGGGTAGTAAATCAAGCATAGGTGCAGGAGACACACTTACCTGGAAGGCATTGTTTGCAAGAGAACACACAGGAGAAGTTAAAGCCAATCCAAAAGTTTGAGAGCCAAACAACATTATCAGCCACTCCAAGATTCCAGGAGTCACACAAGGTGGTTAGCAAGTCTCAAGTCTGGGTTTCAGGTATCGGAATCAGAGGCATGGGAACACATGCCATCACTGAGGAGTGGTCAGTTATTTCCAGCATAGACGCTTTCTTAAACTGGTTCCTGACCTTGATTAGGAGAGTTTCTCCTTTTGTTTGACAAGAAGCCTCAGTTAACATTTTTCTGTCTATCAAGATCGCGGGTTTGGGCTTAGCATTGTCATCTGACTGTACTAGCTGGTCTAGTCACGACAATGTCTCATTAATCTCAGATAAGTTCTAACAGTGTGTGTTGAATTTGCCATTTCACAGGATGAATATCATTCTTATCTGGCCTTGTGCCAGGACACTTTGTGGACTTCTATGGCCAAGCAGGGATTTGAACTCCGATCTCCAGATTTATAGTCCAATATTCAAACCACTACACCAGACTGGCTTTCATGACTGCATTTACCAACCACAACCATAAGATTTGAAGCTATATTATTACTATTAACCATAGATAATCTTGGCCATAGTTTATTTTGGATTCACATATAATGCTTAATGTCTTCAAAGCATGCTCAATCTTCACTGGGCTGGAGTATGTGGGAGTATTTGTGTATGCCTCTGCCTGTCTTCCTCTTTTATTTTGTCTGTTTCTGCCAGCTGATTTTCTTCCCCAAAATCTTGGGGAAATGTTAAGGGAAGAGGAATTTGGCATATAATGGAGAAGAGGCATCAATCAGAAAAGGATTAGATTGGGAATATAGATGAGTGTGAGGGAGTGCTAAGAAAGTGAGCAGGAGATGGGATAAGGTAGGACAACTAAAACATTTATTTTTAAAAGCTCAGATTTTTAAATTTTAAATTGATTTTTTTAAAAAGCTGGATATCTCTGTTCTTTTTAATGTGTTGTCAAAGGCTTTAATGGCTGGAATCATTGGATTGCTGTAAGTTTTTCAGGCTGTTTGGCAATATTCCAGAAGCATTTTCTCCTGCCATTTCGCCTGCCTCTGTGGCAGGCATCCTCAGAGGTTTTGAGGTTTGTTGGAAACTAGGAAAATGGGTTTATATATCTGTGGAATCTCCAGAGTGGGAGAAAGAACTCTTTTCTGTTTGCAGCAGGTGTGAATGTTTCAATTGGCCACCTTGATTAGCATTTGATGGCCTAGCAGTTCTCAAAGTGTGGCTTTTTACTGCCTGGGGGCATCTTTTGTTGAGAGGTGATTAACTGTCCCTGATTGTTTCTGCTCTGTTTGTTTGCTTTTAGAGACAATTAAGAAATGGGATCCTTTACTATGTGAATTGTCCTACTGGAATTGTAAACTGACATTTCGTATTTATAACTTGCGCTGATTTAATATTATAAAACTATTTTAAATCCAATAACACTTCCTTCTGGAAGCTTAATTAGTGCCAAGATTTATTGGTAAATCAAATAACTTTATCATATTTGTGCTCTGCTCATTTTAAATTAGATTAACCTATTTTGCCCTGTAAATGATGCTGTCAAATAAGTATGCTTGTCTCTTAAAGGACCTGCCTCAATTTGTTTCATATTACTCAGAAGAATTATGATGTAAGATGTATGTGAATGACCAAAATGGAGACAGATGGTATTTGTCTTCACAAGATATCTAATATATAAATTGTTAAACATCTGTGAAGTTCCACTTAGAGATGCATTTTTCTAGTTCCCACTCATTGACTGAAACAGCAAGCAATTTTATCCACTACAGAAAAAGAAATAGTGGTTTTATTTGATTTGACAAAATGCTACCTTATAGTCAGAACAAACACAGAAACCAACATGATGCATACTTATTAGTAAGTCAGTAGGAGCCATTCCCTTGTGAGTGTACATTGGATAGTACCATCCAGCAAGCTTAGAGAATAAAATTATTTTATTCTCTATAATAAATTATGTCTGATCTTACTGGAATAGGAACATTTTATGTATGGTATTTGCTGAATATGGACAAAGTTCAGCCCTTCCTTCCTTCTGTTATTAAAGATGTAGACCACATTTCCTGTAGGTAAGTGTTGAGCTTGTTTTGCAATGAACATTCAGTGACTGAGAACTTACCCACTTCAGTTAGTCACAGTTCAGTTTATTGTGGATAGAGAGAAAACAGTGTGTTTTACATAGGACATGCCTGAAATGTTCAGTATTTCTGCTTTTATAATTAATTAAACATAAAGGCCATTTATGTTCGTTAATGTGCATTTGCTTCAGTATTTCCATATAATTTCTATGCATTCCAATAGGATGCATTCTAGGTAGATTATGCTTTCATAAAAGCACATTTCTATTCTTCTAGGCCTACTAAAAGCTTACATTGCAGGCAAAGTATTTGTGTATGAAAATTCAATATTGTACAGGACTACAACAGTTACCTCATTAATAGATAGTACACTTTCAGTCATAAGGATTGTGCTACTAAGGGAACACTTAAGCTTGAATTAGTAAGGATGAACAAAGTGAATCAGAGTTCAAGTACTGAGCCCTTAAAATCGTTGATACAATCCACTTCCTTGTCATTCTAGATACAAAATCATAGCAGTACACTAACATTTAAAATAAATTAACATTACAGCTCAGACATTAGAGAATAAAACTGAACTAGAATTTAAAAACTAGCATGAATAACTTAAGTAGAGCAGAGTGTGAACTGATGTAAGATAGTTATGAAAGGGAACTGCAAGGGGATGAGAGTAAAGGATGTAGTTTATATGAGCAACTAATGTTCTAAACCAGGCCTGCACAACTCAGCAGTAGTAAAAGGCCAAAATTAAAATATATTAAACTTCTTTAGGCTACTCCTCTCCTCCTTCCATGCTCAAACTTGATTGGCTGCAACTCCGCACATGCCCACCACTTCGTCCCGCACCTCTCCCTCCCAGGATAAGGAGACGTGACTAGAACCTTTGCTCCCTTCTACTGTGAGGATTATATGACGCAGTGGCATCCTCTTCATGTCACCAAAAATCCTTGTGGGAAGGGGCCCACGTTGTGCAGCTGTGCTCTAAACTGTACACTCACTGCTCTTTTATGCAAATTACTCCAGCTACCATCTGGAATTACTCTTCATTATATGGATAGAAATGTATAAAAGTCGTTTCACTAGAAACTTATGACACCAACTAGTGAAGAATTACATCAGTAATGGTTTTCATGACTATTTTCAGGTAATATTCAAGGAGCAACAATTGTTGATGCCTTGGACACACTATATATCATGGAAATGAAAGATGAATTTAAAGAAGCCAAAGAATGGGTGGAGAAAAATCTTGATTTCAATGTGGTGAGTATTGCTCTTTTGGACCTTCTATATGACTATGATCTAAATTTTAAGCTTTTTCATGAGGAAGAACAGACATGTTTTCTGCCAATTAAATGATTGATATTCCATGTACAGTGATACTAACGAGCAACCCAACGTATGAGTTTTTCGAGATACGAGTGGTCATCTGGTTTGTTTTCCCCTTCAATATATGAGCATAGATCTGACTTACGAACCCAGAAAAGCAAGGGACAGGGCTCATTGCAAAGGCCCACTCCCTCTCCCCCACCACCAGGCCACCCTGGGAAGTGGCCCCATGACCCAGGATGGGTTTTCACCATGGCCGCCATCTTTAAAGCAGGAAGGACTCTGGCTTCACAATAGCAACCCTCCCTTTCAGCTCTTCCGCATGGGGCGCAGAGTGGGAAAATTAGTCCCTCCGGCACCACAGAGAGAGAGAGAGCCACCCCAGGCATGGGAGGGGAGGGGGCTCTTTAACCTGCTGTGTCCAGGCCAACTTTCTTAGGTATCTGAGGGCAGGGACCGTGACCCAGCTGGATGTCCCCTTCCCCGAGGGCCCCTTGGGACTATAAAGGTGTCATGGGGGCTCTGCAGAGGGTTACCCTCACCAAGGCAGTGATACATTTTGTCCTGTTAGAGGGAAAGAGGCAGTGGAGAAGAAGGCAGCCTCAGCAGGAAGATAGCATGGGGGGGGGGGGTCTATCTGCGTTGGTTGTACAGCAGCCAGAAGGCAAGCCGTCAGCTGTGGCCCAGGCTGGTGCAGTCCACTAGTTGGGAAAATGTGCCTGCTGGACGCATTCTCTCCCCTGGCTCTTCCTCCTCTGTCTGGATAAACTTTAGGTTCCCTTCCTGTGTCTTTCTCTTTGCCAGCCTACCAGGAGCAACTCTTCCAGCAGATCCCAATAAAAGCATGTCAGTGGGATAGATTGAGAGGGAAGAGTATAGGTTGAAGGGAAGCCTGGGGATGTCTTTCTGTTTTGTGTTCCTCTTTTCTTGCTCCTCAGTGTCTCCTTTAAAGTTGACTTTTCTTTGGTTATTGTTCCATGTGAGTGTGTTGGTTTTGCTTTACTGTTACACAGGCCAATAAACGTTTTGTTGCCTCAAATGTGCTTCCTTGCTGCAGTGGCTAGATGAAACCAAGCACTTACCTATCTCTGAACATTTTTCCTTACCAATGTTCATAATAGTGTAATGTTTTGAATATGATCTGACAATTTAAATAAAGGTTAGCGTTTCTAACATCAGAAATAGAAGTATTCTCTGTTTAAATGGATCTTTTTACTGATGGAATTCATGATGTGTATTTTAAAACACATAACAAAAATGGGGGGGAGGGCAGAATGGAAAATTTCACTTTGAGATAAGAGTGATTTGAGTTAAGAGCTCGGTCACAGAACAAATTAAACTCCTAACTCTAGGTGTCACTTTATATGTGTTTTTCTACTCTTCATATGAAGAGAATACTCGACTGAATTCTGCACTACCCAACACAAAAATGCACATCTACATCCCATTTTTTCACGAGTACCTGTTCAGAGTGGCAATTTTTAGGAACTGAAACAATATAAGAATTGTCTCAGATTTTGAGATAAGTGTGGATATAAAGTTGAAAAGTTGTGATCAGTTCCCACCAAGGCAAGAACCAATTAGTTGTTTAAAGTTGCAGAGTTTTTTCTTGCTGAAGTTTCAAATTAGATTTACTACCATCTTTGTCAGCTCATAACAACTAATTGCAGGAAATCCTTTGATGTAGAATTACGACGGTGTCACCTCTCTTCAATCTGTTTCCTGCATAATGTTTCATGGAAACATAAATCTTTCTGCAAAGATTGTTTGTAATGTCACTGTGGAATTAGAATTTAGAATTATCTAAACTTTGTCCCAAAGTCTGTATGTGTCTAATACTGAGATCTTACACACATCTTCTCAGAAACAATTCCCTGAATTCTGTGTGATTCAAATTCACAAAAATACCTTTTGGATTTCTGCCAAAGTTTAAGTCTTGGCTGCTTAATGTGATATTATCCAAGGGAACATCCAAAGAACTTATCTCTAATTTTAATCCATCCATGTAAATGTTCTTTATATGTATCCTGTGCTTTATCATGGAATCTCAGACCTGCATACAAGAAAGACAATTAAGGACAGTTGCAGATTAAAAGACTACATTATTTAAACAAGGTATAGATATTAAACATAGCAACATTTAACCCCCTCTCCCCTTTAAAAATGGTTCAAACCATGTACATGTATGATTTATATTAAAATAAAATAGTTCCTGAAGACTTTAATTAAAAAAACACATTTTGTCTTGATACCAGACGGAAAACCAACATTATCACTGTTGGACTTCAGATGAATTCCACTGAAACTTGAGAAGGTTGTCTCCCATTTCGTATTGTAATGCATTTAGTTTTTGCAAATACTTGTAAGGTATCATTATAGCAATTCCGCGAATAGCATAAGCAATTCTAGGTACAGCATTCATTTTCATTATGTTTACTGTGTCCCACAGACTCATCTGTAAGCCTACACATCTCTATCAATCATACACAATATCTTTTTTCAACTTACTTAAGATTACACTTTTGAGATAAGTACCTAGGGATAATTATACACAAATAAATAATTTAATTTGGACAACATTAGAATGGCAAAGCTTTACATACCCTTGAGTCTGCCTTGTTTCCCGCTGGCAGTATATCTGACTTGGACCATTTAACTGAACACCCAGATATTTTATCAAAATTATTAATCATCTCCATTGAAACAGGGATCAATTACTGGGGCTTTAGAATTGCAATAGTCTAATCAGAAAGCTACCAGTACATGGACTATTGTGGCTAAATCATCCTCATCCAAGAAAGGTCTTAGCTGGCACATGAGTCAGAGCTGGTGTCAAGCATTCTGTGCCATGGAGTTCACTCGGTTCTGCAGTGACACATTCCATCTAGAGTACTCCCAAGCTGCACTTCTGGTTCTTCAAGGAGAGTTCAGACTCATTCAGAGCAAGTTGCTTATACTAATAACACTATAATAACCCACCCTATCTCCTCGAGGGGACTCAAGGTAGTTCCCAACTTATCAATTTCCCAGGCGTGAGAAGCAACAATCCACAGAGCCTCCATCTTATTGAAACTCACCTTCAATTTACTGATGATAATCCAGGCCATTAGAGCATCCAGGCTCTGCTCCAGCACCTGCACAGGTCAAGCTGACTCCAACAATTGAAATTTCTCATGGCACCCAGCCCCATAACTCCTAATGACTCAGTGGGTTCCCATGGCTGAACATGGATTCAAACCCTTATATCCAGAGTTGTAGTCCAATATTCAAACCACTACACCAAAATGACTCATCCCGCTCCTCAGCCATTGACTGTATCCACTACCAACTAACTAATATCAACTGTTATTCACTTGCCTTATTCAAATCCCTTCCTATCACCATGCACTCTTAACATTCCGTTCACTTCCCTCTCATCAACTCCTTACCTGATTGCCTATATTATTCAATATATATCAAAACCAAATGATCTTAATATAAAATATTTTGTACAAAAGTCTGTGACATCACGCCAATCAAGTCAAGCATTTTGTCCACTTTGTCAATCCACAGTAACTGAGACTGATCCCAAAAAACTTGACCACACAGAACACTTATGAGAAAATACAAGCAATTTTCTCCTTGAAGTGCCTGGCAAATGTATCACAGGAGGCAACTGAAAGCTACACTGCTGTTTTCTCTTAATCTGATCTCAACAGATTCCTCACAACATGGAATAACTCTACTAGACTACATGTTGAGATATAGTAATGAATGCATTGTATGACTGTTTGAAAACTCACTGTCACATAATAGGCACAACAGAGTTTTTGTTTACTGTATCTTCTATTACCTATGCGACTTGCATTTTAGCCATTGACTTGCCCATTTGATTGCCTGTATGTCTTCTGTATATCAAGTTGAATTATGTGTTTCACAACAGTGGATTGGATACCTAGGAGCAATTGCCTTAATGGCAATCTCCATCCCATTGTTCTATAATGGCAGCATTAAGACAACTTAATTGCAAGTTGCTAAGCCTACATTATACCCATTGAGTCATTGAATTTATTTAATTTTTGACTTACTGGTATGTAGTTGATTCAGTGGGTCCATACTAGTTGGGAATAGCAATTGGGTTTAGCCCAAAATGTTTAAATGTCTTGCCTGTGGAGAAGAGCAAGCCACAGACCACTTACTGCAATTCAGCCTGAGCCCTGCCACATGCACAATGGAGAACCTTCTTAGAGCAACACCAGAGGCACTCAAAGTGGCCAGCTTTTGGTCAAATGAATTTTAGCACAATGCCAAGTTTTTAACTTTATGGTTTTTTTAATACATTATAACTGTACTCTCAGTTTGCTTCTGATACGATAAAAAAACCTTAGGTTTTGGTTCCTTATGCATTGTTCTCTGATTTACTGAGGAAACACCATGAGGGTTAACAACAACAACAACAACATATTTCTAGACCACTGTCTTTCCCCAGAGGGACGTATTACCATTGTGTTCTGTTTTAAGCTTCCCAAAATGTGTATCGGGTCTGAATAGTGTAATGGAAGAGTAGTTGTAGAGCAGTGGTTCTCAACCAGGGGTCCCCAGATGTTTTTGGCCTTCAACTCCCAGAAATCCTAACAGCTGGTAAACTGGCTGGGATTTCTGGGAGTTGTAGGCCAAAAACATCTGGGGACCCAAGGTTGAGAACCACTGTTGTAGAGGGAGATTGCATTATCTCTCACAGTTATCATGCTATGGCTTTAGAATATGCCTCTTGTTTCAGATACTTGAATTGATCTCTTGCATGTGTCAAGGCAACAAAATTTGGATATCATCAACTCATTAAATCTGAGCAGTGGTCATCCACTGGCAGAGTAAGGTTCAGCAGAAGCTAATTCCCCCTCCTAGTCTAAGCCCTAATGGATTCCCAGCCCTGAAGGGCTGGGATATTGAGTAGTGACAGTTTTCTGGAAACAATGGGGAGAGAAGAAGAAAAATCTGTTGTGATTACCAGTCAAATGTTTGATTTAACCCTCATAGTTTTAGGCCCAATAAACATTGACATTCATGAACATTAAACAGTCCCCAAGTGATAAAAGGGAATTGATGAGAAGAAGTATTTCTAAATTAGCTTAAGAAGTAGAATTTGGCAACCTTAAAATACTTTCATTAAGGGTATTATATGAAAACATTGTCATTCTGTAATGTACTTTTATTAGTGATAACTACTTGAGCAAGTTATTTAAAAGAATGTATACCTCCAGAGCAGGGCTGGTTTTGTGGGCCCCAAGGATCAAAACAATGGGGGGGGGGGGGGGGGGTGTTGTTGTTGTTGTCCTCAAATGCTGTCTAGGAGGCAGCATAGGCATTTTTGCCACTCCCTCCTCAGAGTCATTTTAGATTTAGGATAATCTTTTTTTCTAAAAACAGAAAGGTTACAGGAAGTGACTTCTGTTCTCTTTTTTGTTGCCAAGAAAGACTTATTCTGAAATAAATGGTCCCATGGAGGCTTGAAACATAGCAGTGATACTTCCATACCCCATAGGAGACTTTTGAGGACAAAACGTCTGCATTTTTGTTCTGTTTAGTTTGGGATGCCACTGTACAAGGTCTCCTGAATGGGCCATTCCTGTGCTGTGGCCTGCATACTGGTAGATAGGCATAATTTTCCGCTTGTGATCTAGTTTGCATTTTAATTATCAAATTATTTTTGTGTACACCATATATCCCATTTCAAATTTTGCACATGATCATCAGATTAAAAGAAATACATTTTGTAGACATGCACAAATTAAACTTTGCTTCAAAGCCTCTTCCAACTGTTTACAAAAAAGACCAGTTTATTTCTTTAGTTTATTGAAATGGCTTTGGTGATTGAAAAAAAGTCTAAAATATTCTCAAGTGAGGAAATAGATGAATGCTGTCAAGCCAAGAATGCCAGTAGTCAGTCTGGGTCTGACTATGATGGGAAGCTTGCAGATGAAAGAAGTTTGGGAGCACAATAAACTTACACCTGAAAATTCCTTGTTTTCCCTTTTCCCTACCCAGTACACTTTTTTGTGTGTGCAGATTGTAAACCTGCAAGCACAAATTATTTGGTTTCTTCTAGCATGTAAGCAATTCCAAGAGCCTGCAGGGAATCAATTCTTTACATAAATAAAGCAAATTGTCATTACTCATGCCTGGCACAACATACAACTGGCTGATGGACACAAGTGAGACTTGTGAAAAGGAGGCTCCAGCTAATGCTGTCTAAACTGAAGGGAAAGATCCTGATCCAAACTGGGTTTATCAATTCATGAGTGTAAATGACTATCCTCTTCTCTTCCCCCTTTAGTATGGCTATTCTATATTTGTATTTAATAATTAAAATATTTATTTTGTGCATTATACCTGAGTTTACATAAAAGAAAATAAAAATGAAATGTTTGATATTATTTAAAACAGTATAATTGATTTAAAGACTAAAAGCACATTAAACCACTCAGAATAGGACAATTTAAAAGCAGTTAAAACAATTTCAAACTATTTGCATGTGCAAATTTGGGTGAAAGCAATCATGTTCCAAAAGCTTTAGTAAGCAACCATGTTATTATTTCTTAGTGCCAGAATTACAGCATTTTTGGCACAGTATAATCCACAGTAGACAAGGCCCTTCCATGTCCTCCCACTGCATATTTTCCCAACTGTTGAGCCTCAACGCGATGCATACCTCAGTCAGATGTATATCAGGAAAGGTGCTCTGCTGGTTATACTGAAATCTTCTCATTCTAGATCCGCTGCCTCTCCAACATTTTCCTTAATTCATAGAGAGGTAATTGTTGGTAATGAAAATAAGAATTCTTCATGGTACAATCCTTCTTAAAATTGGTGGCTCCATTGCATTTTTAGCTCCTTTTTATTATGTGGCATATTGATTTGCAGCTTTTTGTCATATATTTCATGCTTTACCTTGGACTTCTGTAGATCTTTATAATGGTTCAGAAGTTACTTGACAGGAGAAAGAACTTTTAAACATATTTTTAAGAAGTACACTTCTGGGACATCATTAATAATAATCCTCTTATAATGAATTCTAATACAGTATTCACTAAACTCCCCATTCCTCCTCCACCACTCCATTCACCTGTGTGATGCAGATTGGCTTCCTGGATGTCAGGGTAAAGACTTTTCAGCTGTTCTCCAAATCTCTCTCATCCACATGCTTTCCCAGGCTGATGCTAGCTTGCCATAATGAGCTTAAGGATAACTATCCTATTAAAGACAGGGCTTTCAAATCTATACTGAATACAATCTCTTGCTCCATTTGTTCCACATGCATCAGTGGATTGTATAACATACTCTGCAAGAGTTGTGATTTGAGCAGTTGTTAGTTTCAGCACATCTAGTAGAAGCTTATTTGGGGCTGATATTTTTAAATGATAGAATATTCAGATGGTTTCATATCTGAGTAATTCATTGCTCATTTAGTGTATGATAAGGCACAGTGTTCATTTTCACAAAATCCCTTTCCATTTTTCTCTCCACATTAAAGCTAACTTTGCCTTTTGGAAGGATCAGTATTCTGTCTAGTAAAAACAGCTTTTTGCTTTGAAGCATCTGAACATTGCTAAATCGGAAAGTAATTTAAGGGTCAGTTTGCCAATGTGAACATTGTGTGTGTGTGTGTGTGTGTTAAAAATGAGGTGTTGATAAAGAAAAAAGGCTGTTTCCTGCAGAACCCATATTGGAACTTATTCCATAGTTCCCAGGTTCTTCCAGGAAAAGCCATTCCCGTGGCTGCAATCCTCATCAAGGTGTTGTTTTCAATAGAATGAGGGGAATGGTGAAGGATCTGGACACCAAGCCTCATGTCCAACTGTTCAAAGACATGTGTTTTTATTTTGAAGAAAGGACAATAAAAGGGAGAAATGCTAATGATCTTAAAATATCTGAAATACTGTCAGTCAGAAGATGGAGTATATTTGTTTCGTGTTGCCAAGTGCAGGACTAGAAGCAAGGGGGCAAACTGAAGAGCCCAAATCTTACTAGCTTCCAAATGAAGATAGCGATCCCCAGCAGTGGTGGGGCTGAAACTGCCTTGCAGGAGATATGTTCTCATTTACAGTGAGCATTTAAACAAAACATTTGGTCACCATATCTTGGGAATGCTGTAGCTGCATCCTGCATTGCAGAATTTGCATTGGGCAAAAGGTTGGATGAAATTATTTCCAATATCATATCAACAGGCTGATGGAATTTATGATATATGGTTTGATTTTATGACATATTTCAACACAACACTAAAATGAGCCCTCCACAGTCCCACTGAGATTTATTTATGGAAGAACCTGTGTAATCAATTAATACTTTTAAAGTTTAAAATGCATACTAATCACATAAATTCAATTTGGATTACCTTGTATATCTTTGGGATTGGTGCCATTCAGCATTAACTGCTGTCTGGCCTTCCTGGTTTACACTAATTGCTCTTTGTTGTTTTCTAATAAATTTTGTACTCCTGATAGAAAAGAATTCAAAATAGAATGGCAAGGAAGAATTCAAAGTAACTAGATTACTTTCTTTGATACATACCACATTTCCAACCATGATTACAAAACTGAAATATAGTATTTTTATGTTAGAGCTATACAAGAAAGCTATACAAAGATGTATTAGAACCTATTATTGACATTTGGTTAACATTTTCATGTTGAAAATTAACTTGAAACCCTTAATGTATTTGTATTTCTAGAATGCAGAAGTCTCTGTTTTTGAAGTGAACATTCGTTTTGTTGGTGGGCTGCTTTCAGCATATTATCTTTCTGGAGAAGAGGTAAGATCATACATAGTGAACTAACATTGCTGCAGAGGTACAGACTAAAGTCCAAAGTTCTGTGTGTAGACTGGAAAACAGCCAATAATATGTCCTTGACAGACTGGTTGGAAAAATACTGCTGCTCACAGCAGTTACTAGAGTTATATAATTTGGAAGAGATTACCTGTAAATCTGCTTTTCAGGGAAGAAGATGTGTTCCCAGTTTATATCTGCTTAGGAAAACAAACAAAAATCTGAAATCCACAACATAAGAAGTTAGCATAGGACATTGGATAAGTTCTAAGTGTTGGGTCCAACACTCAAAGGGTAGCACAACCATAGATTAACTGAATATGATAATAATTCTTCATGATGAACATTCAGAACATGCAGTATAACCTTCCCAGTTAAGTGAGAACCTTGCTTAATAATATAGTAGTTTCCCATCTGCTGATAGATTTGATTGATTTTTTAAAAAAACTGGGGGAAGAGGATTTATAGTCTCTTGGGGCTCCTCCACACAGCCCTATAACCCAGAATCTCAAGGCAAAAAATCTCACAATATCTCCTTTGAACTGGATTATCTACATCCACACTGAGATAATGTAGGATTTTCTACCTTGATATTCTGGGATTTAGGACTGTGTGGAAGGGTCCTTGATCTTCTCTTAGGGCCCTTCCACACAGCCCTATATCCCAGAATATCAAGGCAGTAAATCCCACAATATCCACTTTGAACTGGGTTATCTGAGTCCACACTCAGATAATGTGGGATTTTCTGCCATGATATTCTGGGATGTAGGGCTGTGTGGAAAAGCCCTATAATACTTAATTCTACTTAAAGACTACAGTCTGGCTCCACCAGTCATAAGTGCTTTAAAATAATTTCCCCAATATAGCTGGTCTTTTATTGTCTTAATTATGGAAAGTATTTTCTGCTGTGTGTAAGGATCATACAATTTGCTCTGAAATCCCAGGGTTCGTAGTATCAACAAGGAAGTAAGGAAGTATTCCCAAACTAGTTGTGTGTTCATTATTCCTGTGAATGATCTGGCATCATCTTTTAAAAATTGTTTCAGATTGATAATTTTTATGGACGGTTCTGATTTACCAATGGGAGAGGAGAATCTCCTTTGCTCCCAAAATATTTCTGTGTAAAATCCCTGAAACATTTAAGATAAGAATGCCTCATTACCACATTCCTACATATGCATCATTGTTTGTGCAAGAATGCGGTATGTTTTCAAACTGATTATTGTTTAAACTCTGAAGATTTTTATAAAACAAAATTAGAAGCAACACAACTTGTAATCTGAATATGAAAATGTATTTATATTGTCACAGCATATGTTTAGTCTGCTCAAGTGATACCATTCTGCTCAGGTGATATAATAAATTACGTTAATTAATTTAAGTTTAATTTTTATCATTTACTACTTAGCTTTTATTACTGATTAGAATAGAATGGTTAAATTGCAGTTTGGTTTCCATTTCTAGAAGTATAATTGCACGTTATCGAAACAAGTTTTTTGTCATCTGATACTAATGTGTAGAATATAGCCACTCTTTCTAGTCATGAAATGCCATGTCTGGCTTGGATGGAAAGAATAATGAGCTTTCAAAACAGCATATGAGCTTCCATTTAAAAAATCCTACTTGTCCTTTATGAAAAGGTCAAGTTTATCAGCCTTGCTAATATCACAAGTGGTGTGCTTAATGGCACGTGATAACTATTAATACCTAGCTCTGATTAAATATTTCAATAATTACAATTAACAATTACTTATTTTATAGGAGTCAATGGGAAACACCTTTAAAATAAAATGACAGTGTAAATAGTTAAAAGCAAAGGTGTTGATGTAAGTTGGTTTTTGTTATTTATTTTCTGGTTTTCACCTAAAACCTTTACCTAAGGCAGTTTATAGCACATTGAATCATTCGAATGAACACTGTAAATTATAAATATAGGTAGAGTTTCCCTTACCCCAAACATTTGTGGCTAGAAATGGTTTGGATATTGAATGTTTTTTTTAATTTAGTAATAGCTGTGTGTGTGTGTGTGTGTGTATACACACACACATACATAAACACACACACATAATGAGATAACTTGGAGATAGAACCCAAGTCTAAACATGAATTTCATTTATGTTTCACATATACAAAGTTTATACAGACTAAACCATCAGAAAGCAAAGATGTCACCCTCTCAGCCACCTGTGTGGAGAGTTTCACAATTTGGGGTATTTGGGATCTTAAAATTCTGGATAAAGATTGCTCAACCTGTTGAAGGCTTGTTCGAATATAATGTTAATTGTCAGAGTGAGGACAACTGGTAGGGGTTGGCCCAATAAGCCTATTTTGCAGAAAACACCATCTAACAATTAGTCTTCCTGCCCAAACCTACTCCAGTAAATGCTCATTTTATTCTTTTAGTTTAATTTAATTTTGTAAATTTGTAATATTTGATCACTGTTCAAAGAGGCTATGTTTTACAAGAATGAGACGCCAAACCAGTCTAAGAAGAGTTGAGAGTTCAGATCCCTGTGTGTGTGTGTGTGTGTGTGGTTGTTGTTGTTAGGAATCAAGAGCTGTTCGGCTCAAAAATAACCCTCACTTGGGGGTGATTCCACAAAATGTAGCAGTGTGCCAGAAACACCATACGTAACCAGAAGAAGCTTACGTGTAGAGAGCAAGGATTAGTTTTCATTTAGCAAGATAGAACAGGATTGCAGATCCACAACTTCATAGGTTCTAAAAATAATATGTTTACTAAAGTCAAAATAAATCCATTCTGGATAGGAAAGGTTCTTGGAACTAACTAGCTTCACTGAGCTATCTTCTAAGGAAAAGGAAAAATAACAAAATAGCCATGCATCTACATCTTGCCTGGGGAATGGCAAGATGCCTCCTCACTCAAGAAGAACAAAAGAAGAGGAGAGGCCAAAAATGGAGAATTGACCACATGGGTTCACCAGGGCAATAAAAATACCTTTAAAGAGGAAATTACGTCTTCCCTGAAGATACCACATTACTAAGTATTCAAAGGGGGAGAAGATAGTGGCATGGAGGATAAGTAAGACAACCCCCCTTCTAAGCCCCTTCTTGAGATAGGCATGCACAGGGAATTTTGGGGAAGGAATCCCTCATTCTAATCTATCTAGGCTAACTATTCATTGAGGGCTGGAGACTTGTGCAGTCAGGGATGAAACCCAACATGTATGATACTTTGTACATACATGGGTCATTTCTTAACCCACTGAATACCATAAATGGTGATCTTAATTCTCACTCGGTCTTTATATTGTTCATATGAGTTATCATAAAAGAGAAAAATAATAAACTTTTGCTGAGAGAGATGGTAGGGTCTCTCATTCAGGACATAGTCAAAAAAAGGCTGGGCATCTATGTACTGGGAATGCTTTGGTAGTCTATGAGGTCACTTTCAATTCCGTGACTTTATGATAGTTTTCTTAAAGAAATGACAACCTTAAAGAAATCTTTTACTGCAAGTATTTACAAGCACTGTAAAATGAAGCAAAGGAATTTGATTGGAATATTAGAAAATGAATGTACATCTCATCTGATTCGAGGGATGTTTCAGCTGCTGCCAAAAATAAGTAGTGCACAGAATAAATGGAATGCAAATATTCATCTTTGTCAGAGATGATAAAATTAAATATTTATATACCATAACATATTCAGCATTTGCCACAGTTAAAACAAATGGTAATAAATGGCTTTTCCAGCTCTCCTGTGTGGTGGTGTGCTGCTGTTAGTGTGCTTTATCACTGGCCCCATAACAGGCATATAAGAATTATGGAAGCTTAAGCAGGAAAGTATCACTCCCCCCCCCCCAAAAAAAATATCTTTTACAGACATAGTATATGAAATGATGAATAAGGCATAGAATTATTTGCTTCATTGGATATTTACTGTTATCAGTGGCTAGTAAACAAGAAAGCTCTATGTTACCTTTTGGGGTAGTATTTAGAACCTGAAATGGAGATAAGAGACAGTCATACTGAAGTGAACTAGGACCAAAATTTATTCAGTTAATGGCAAAATACGAGCAGTGAATGAAAGGATAAATGGACAGTCTGTTCATTCAGTTTTTGAATAAAAAAAATTCACCTGAGGGCCCTTCCACACAGCCCTATATCCCAGGCATATCAAGGCAGAAAATCCCACAATATCTGCTTTGAGCTGGGTTATCTGAGTCCACACTCAGATAATGTGGGATTTTCTGCCTTGATATTCTGGGCTATAGGGCAGTGTGGAAGGGCCCTGAGAGAAAGACAGGTAGGATAATGTTCCTGCTATTTGTCAAGGTTCAGCCTTTTTTTTTTTACACTTCATTTTGAAAAGTGTGGCTTTATTCTAAATATCATAATTATTCAACTGTTCTGGTTCCATCTGCCTGCTTAAATACTGCCTATTTTTTGTTTCTTTGTTTCATATTTTTACAGGTTGCTTAAATTTAGCGTTCTATTGTAAATTGTAAATTTGTAAAGACATTTGTCAAGATTCTTTTTGCCTTTCCTGCAAATTGTTTTGCCTCCTCCACCCACCCCTAAATATAAAAGCCCTATTGTAACATGCTGTGCTTGGGAATTCTTAGCATAAACATATTTCTCTCATTGTTGATTCTGTCTTATAGAATGACCTCAAGAGCTGATGAAGTCGTTATAAAACAATGAATTCTACATGCCGCAGTCTGGTGGTTTACTGTATAACTTCTGATCCGAGTTTAATTCATATATCTAGGCTGAATCAGAAACTTTGTTATCACATGATCATTGCTTATTATAATTTTACAGATATCACTTGACAGTTGCTTATTATAACTTTACAGATATTTCGAACGAAAGCAGTGGAACTAGGAGAGAAGCTGCTTCCAGCCTTTAACACTCCCACAGGAATTCCTTGGGCATTACTAAATATCAAAAGGTAAAAAGTTCCAAATTCCAAGTAAAATAACTTCTGTCTATTTAGCTCAGCATTTAAAACTGACCCGCTTTCCTGTATTGTCTCACCAATTGTGTTCCCTTTCCTCAAAAGTCTGAATCAGCATTGCTTTTTCTCCTTTTGCCTTATATTATTGTTGCAAGTTGTCAGCATTGTTTCCACTTTTTGTTCTCACTATGATGGTACAGTAGAGTCTCGCTTATCCAACCTTCGCTCATCCAATGTTCTGTATTATCCAACTCAGCCTGCCTCCCACCCGGATCCACAGCTGTTTCAATACATTGCAATGTGTTGGTACTAAATTCATAAATACAGTATTTCTACATAACAATACCATGTATTGAACTACTTTTTCTGACGATTTGTAGTCAAACATGATGCTTGGTGCTTAATTTGTAAAATCATAAAGTAATTTGACATTTAATAGGCTTTTCCTTAATCCCTCCTTATTATCCAACATTTTCACTTATTAAACATTCTGCCAGCCCATTTATGTTGGATAAACGAGACTCTACTGTATTTATTTTTTACTTGTCACACTGTGCTCTGAAATTCTATAACAAGATAGTAAATGAACCCTATCATAGGGGTGTTGTGTGTTTTCCGGGCTATGGCCATCTTCTAGCAGCATTTTCTCCTGATGTTTTGCCTGTATCTGTGGTTGGCATCTTCAGAGGATCTAACCCTATCATAGTATTCTAAACTGAATGTTTACCACCCAAAATTTATCCTTAGACGTTTTGGTTCAGGTATGTCTTGTATGAACAAAGTTAATGTATTGGCAGCTGTAGAGACTTAGGGGAATGAAATCTGGCTTTGAGAGAGGCAGAATAATCTTCAGGCCGCTGCCTCAATTAAATGTAGCACGCTGTCACCAATTAATAATATTCTGAGGAGTTTTTACTATGGAATCAGGCTACCACCAAAGACAAAAGGGGTTTTAGGTTTTTGTTTGACCAGTGTATTGAAAGTAAGCTGGTTTGTGCTGAATTTGAACTCAGGGCGCAGAACTCTGAGGTGGATATTAGGGCTGGGCGGTTTCGTTTCGTAATTTCGTAATTCGTTAAAAATTCATTTTTTTTTATAACGAAGCGATAACGAACCATTCAGGAGCAACTAAAAAACGAAACGAATTTTTAAATTCGTTTCGTAATTGTTTCGAATTCGTTTTGTATTCGTTTCGTTATCGTTTTGAAATCGTTTCGTTATTATTTCTGCATGTCTGGGGCAAGTTTTATAGTTGTTGTTTGTTTAATCAGTGAAAAAAATTATAAATATCACACCAACAGTCAACAACAGAGGGAGAGGGAAGCTTCAGAAGTTCCCCCTGTCCCATTTGGAGGTTTTTTAGCGTATTGCGCGGTCGCGTCCGCCATTAACGAATCGATTCGTATTTTTCGTAATTGTTTCGTAATTTTACGAAATTTCGTAAATATCGAACTTTTTTAAAGAAAAATTTCGGAATTCTTTTAAATATCGAAACGCAAAAAACCCCAAAAAACGAATCGAGTTTAGAAACAAATTTTTCCGTGGTTGCCCAGCCCTAGTGGATATTGTTGGATTCTTCTAAGTAGTTGCTGCCACCAATCTGGAAACTCTGTTTCCCTAACTTATTAAGAATACTTCTTCATACAGAGGCACGCTGAGGCAATTGCTTGTTAACAAAGAATAAAGTTGTTTATTTGTGTGGTTTTTCAAAACACATAGGCACTTAAGCGTATCGGTTGCATGAATGAGATGAAGCTTATTTGGTTACTTTAAAACAGTTAAGTACTTGGTTTCCAATAACAACTCTTAACTCTCTCAGGAATCTAACAGACTTTTTCCTGACTAGAATCCTTTTACTTCAAACAGTCCTTTTCCTGGGATCTGTTTATAATCACTATACCAGCTATTCTTCCCTAATAGATCTCTGAACTCTCTAGCTTCCTTCTTTGGCTTCACTGACTTCCACTCTCCTTTTCCTAACTCTCTCCTTCGAACACCAGAACCTGATTGTCTTCTTCAAAACACAGAACCGTCAGATTTCAAAAGCTCTCTTCAAGGCTATTTTTTTCTGCACTTCAACCAAACTCTGCCCACTTTCTCCTAGCCAATCACAAGGGTTCTCCACATTTCCCCCCAGCCTGCTTCTAAGCTCCACCTCCACTAGGAAATGACTAAGCTAAGATGGCTGCCTCCAGGCACCATTACACAAAATGGATACAAAAAAAAACTGGGCCTAATTCCTGAGCTTATTCTGGTCTAAAGGTAGGCAATTCGTCACAGCAGCCAATATATAAATTAAATTGTTCAGACTTACCCATGGTTACTGGGGAAGAGATAGGTTGTAGCCCAGCATTTATGGACGATAGCAGAGTGGAAAGGGCTGAATTAGTTTGTGTACAGTTATGCAGATCTCCACTTTGTATCATATAATATGTAGTATTTCAGGTGGTTACATTCTTTACACTATACAGAATTTATTCACCCATCTACTGAGAACTCATTAATTAAGTGTTGATCCTTTATGCTGCCAAATTATGTGTAGCATTTTTCATGTATAAAAAGAAATTAAAGCCAAAGGCAGGTTAATGAAGATGGAACATGAACATGTTTAAGGGTCTTAAATGCAATGAGATGGAAAACTGGGAGAAGAAATGAAGTATCACCAGTGTTGGGGTATGCCTAGTTTAATCCTGAACCTATCTACACCACAGCACACCATTTTGTTGCAGTTCCCAGTGTAGAAGGATTGTGCAACTATACACTGTTTTCTGCAACCCAAAAAAATTGATCAGAAATCCAGAATGGCTGAAGAAACTATTGAATATATGTGCTAGAAACTAAAATCTGTATTTGGCAGAATTAATAAAACATTTTAAAAATAAGTTATATTAAGTAGTCCTTAGAACAGTGGTTCCCAACCTTTTTTTTAACCAGGGACCACTCTCCAACCTTAGTACCAAAAGGGGCAGGACTGGTTAGCTCTGCAGAAAGGAGCAGAAATGAAACAAATAAAAGGGAAGGAGGTTCACAGACCAGATTTTCATTCTCATAGCCCACTGCTGGGCCACGGTCCAAAGATTGGGAACCACTTCCTTAGAAGATTCAAATTATTTCTTAGCTGACCGGTGCTCTGTAAAAGAAATTGTATGCTTTGACAAGGTGATTATACAATTAAGCCTTGATCTTTTTCAAGGCACAAGAAAAGAATGTGCAACTTTTCTACTTTAGATGGGGCAACGGCTTATATGCATTAAATTACCAAATCTTCTCACATAGTGCCAGCCTTCTTGTTCCTCCAGCGTGCCGTTTGCCTAGTTTCTGTTTAATGTGTCATTCTTCATTGTAATATTAGAGAACCTTGTATGAGCAGGAAAAGTATAAACAAAAGCTGTTGCCCCATATTGGATATCCAATACTGAGAAAGTAGAAAGAAAACTGTGAAAAATGCATGATACAGCACAACTGCTACCCACCAGAAGCAGACTTCGGTTACGGTAAATTAAGATACCACTGCTTAGCTAGACTTCTGTTTCAGCAAATTAAGATACTTCTATCACAATAAATTGTATAACAAGGTAAAAGTCAAGAACTTGTCTTCCACAGAATTACTATCATGTATTGATAGAATTAAAAACATACCACTTTGTCAAGATTAATTTAATAAAGAGGATTATATATCATGGAAGCATAAGATGTCAGTTATAAATTAGTCATAATGAAAGTCATAGCTGTAAGCATAGTGATAGACTATTCATATTACACAACTAACATTCTTGCAACTTCTGCATTAAGGAAAGTTTATTGGGTGACAGGCAAAAACATTGATGAATATACATAATTAGGAACATAAAAATTGCCATATTGGGCCATGAAAGAAGCTCCACAAGGTATAAAATCAACTTGCATGATAAAGTGTTATTGCATAATGGAAAATGGCAGGCATTGCTGGTGCACTTGAAAGATTTCTTCTATAAATTATACAGAGATTTGCAAAGTGATATATTGTAGTAGCCATTTATCTTGAACCATGCAAAGTTTAGTTTAAGAATCATAAGGTTGTATTACCTGATGTAAAAAAAGTATTTTTTTTTATTCAACTTCTAAGTTAGATGAAGTACAGAACAGTGTTTTTCTAACACATGCATCAACACTGTCTTAGATAGAGCAGGGTTTGGAGATAAAAAGGCTCACTTTATAAGTATTTTCCTCTTCCTGGATAAGTTCTTGAACACTTACACTGTCTGACACAAACATTTATATTACATAGTTATGTCAGCCTTCCCTATACTAGTGTATCCATTTGACCAACCAACCAAACTACCCGAGTCACTGAGTTTATATATTTCGGTGTAGTTTGATATCTTTTGAGTACATCTTAATTTTTTTTTGGGGGGGGGGGGTGTCACATGTTTATTGGTCACTCTTCAACCCAAGCTTAGACAATCACAACGAAATAAAAACTATTAACCAGTTTGAGGTCTTTTGTAATCTTGCATTTCCATTTCCATCATGTCCCAGACATATTGTATGAATCTTTAGTGATATCCTGTGGCTTTAGAAAAATTCTGAGATATTACAATGATATGTCATTAATTCTCCGACATACTTGCTCCTCTTGCCCCATATTTGAAATACCTCTTTCATGCAAATCTTAGATTTTTTCCCATCTTTATGGCATGGTTCACCATGCTTGTTTATTTGAAATGGGCAATGTACCTTGATGCCAGGGCTTCTGAAATCTTGCAGTTCCTACCTTGAAATGAAAAATGCTAAGTGAAAACTTCTGGGAAACATGTCAGACTCTCGACATTGGCTAGGCAGTTTTCATTTTGACATTTCAGTTTAGGTACTTGACTGAACTTGCATGACGGATAGGAAGGTTAATAACTTCTGGCGGAATAATGCTGCCCTTTTCCATACTTGGCCAAATGTGAAAATACATAGAAGGAAAGAGATACATTAGAAATTGAATATTTCTTGCTTCTGGGAGGTGC